CACTTAAGGTGTTGTAGCATTTCAGCCCAGGTCACCTTCATAGGTATCACAATCCATGAAGTCTAGAACCCACGCCAAACATTTGGACTATCCTGGTCAATTCTCTGTGATGTGTGACTCAGGGCAGCAATACCCCTCTAGGCCTCCATCTCCAGTTAGAGGATGAACAGGGGAGGGGAAGAGACCAATCTCAAGGATATCACAGGGGCTGCTCTTCTGCAGAGCGCATTGGTCAGCAGGGACTGTACAGCACAACTCAAACTCACCGCCTCCTTTCCCATGAACAGACCTTGGCTGTAACATCACACCGGGATATCTTGTCTACATGTCTCCCAGTTTCTTGGACCAACAGGTGCCTGGCTGGGCTGGCCAACAAGCCCAGGCTGTTCGGCACCAGAGTACCAGGGCCAGCAGAACCAAGGGTGCCTGCAGAAATCTACAGCACACAGTGTCGGCTTCACTCTGAAGGCCACAGCCAATCCCACATACCCTCTACTTCTGCCTCATCTTCAGACTCTCCAAGAAGGTGCCTGCTTCTGACCTTCAGTATCGAATCCACAGGCTGGGGGAATGGAGGTGGAGGGTCCAGTCACCAGCATCTTCTTTCTCTGGGCCCAGAACAAGGAAGTCTAGATGAGCCAAGTGGCACCAAATCTCCACAGCACCACTGGAAAAACCTAGGGAACTTCATCTAGACAGCCAAACAGGGCAGCTCAGAGCCCACAGGCTGGGTAGCACCAGGGGGTCAGAAGGGATTGGGCTGGGAGGGCCACAGCAGAGTGGAAAGGAGCCCCCTTCAGATCTAACCACTGCTTCTTTGAGAGCCCCTGCCTCCCTCTGCTCTGTGGCAGAAGCTGTCTACTCCAGTGATAAAGGAAGAGTCCCAGCATAATGGCGTGACCTTTAGGCAACTTCCTGTTCTTGAAATGATGATATAATGTAGGAGGACACGTGAGCCAGCCCGAGGGCTGTCTACCCACCACACTTAGGACAATATGGATACCAAAAGGAAGGAAAATAGGCCTGGCTCTACACCCCTGACTCATGTGCGCGCGTGCACACACACAATTAATAATTACATTTTTTTCAGGTACCAAACTCTTTTGTGGACTATAGAATAGAAGAACAGAAAATCCCCATGTTATGGCCAATATAGTCATAGCTAATTTAGGTATGGATTAATAAAGGCCATAGAACCATTTAATTAGAGATTCATAGGGAATCCCCCTCCGTGGAAGGGTGGCTGACACGATGTACCTTCCAAAATGACACTCTGGAGACATCAGCTGTGCACCCAGGGAGCCCTCCCACCAGACAGATAACAAAGGAGTACACGTGAGAGCCTCCAGGAAAGGATGGAGATACATCCTTGTCACTTCATGGACGACAAAGAGAGCCAAGGCAGCGACCCTGGTTAGAGGCTACAGTCCCAAACTTTGTCAAAGGGGCTGTGGAGAATGGGAAATAAATGTCAGGTGACAGATGGACGGTGAGCTGCCTCCGTGTCATAGTAAGGAGTAGGGCAACCACACTGGTTGTTCACACAGCCTCGCTTCCACAACTGAGCTGGGCCCATGTAACTGCCTATGGGCCCAAAATTTGGTCAAAGTAAGTGTTCTGGACAAAATCAAACACATAACCACCTCAAGTTTTCTGCCAGTGCTGGCCAGGGTTTTATATGATTTCAATGCAGCTATGGCTCTGAACATACAGTATGCATGTTTTGTACTTAGCAGGCTGTCACACCACACAATCTCAAGAGATACTGCCTGAAACACTACACACAGGCACATATATGCACACATACATACACGTGTGCACACACATGCACATACACAATTGCTGCTCTACTTGACTTGTCCTTCTTTCCTTCTTTCTTTCCTTCTTTCCTTCTTTCTTTCACATTTATGAGTACACTGTAGCTGTCTCCAGACACACCAGAAGAGGGCATCGTATCCCATTACAAATGGTTGTGAACCACCATGTGGTTGTTGGGAATTGAACTGCTCTAGAAGAGCAGTCAGTGCTCTTAACCACTGAGCCACCTCTCCAGCCCCTCAAGTTTCATTTTTTAAAAAATGAATTTGGATTGCAATTAGAAAAGTTTCCAAAAAATTTTAAATATCCTTAAATGTGTTGTGTTGTTTTGTATTACTTATTTATATAAAAGGGAATTCTGTGTATTGAGAATTATAAAATCAAAATGTCAGGGGGCTGGAGAGATGGCTCAGGAGTTAAGAGTACGGGTAGGTCCTTCCAGAGGACCAGGGTTTGGTTCCTGGAACTCACATAGTGGCTCATGACTATAACTCCAGTTCTAGGGAGTCCAGCATCCTCTTCTGGCCTCTATGGACACCAGGCATGTATGAGGCAAAACAACCACATACATAAAATAAAAATAGACTTAAAAAAACTTAAAAATAAAATAATAAAAATATCAGTCAACTCTGAAAAATGTTGAGAATGTTCTATTTTCTGTCCCATCATATATTCAGCCAAGATTTAATTTATTATGTAAAAATGACATAACCATCTCAGTATGCAAATCTGCTTTTATCATTAATAAATTGTAAACTTATGTGTAAACCAAAGAATTTTTTTTTAAAAAAAGTATTAGAGTTTGAGAAAAACAGGGCAGGCAAACTATAAATCTTGGGAAAGAGAAATCATGTCCTTTGTTTAGTAAGTAGCCACATGGCAGACAAGCAGCCAGTGTGGTGAGGGAAGTGGGGGGAGAGCCTCTGGGGGAAAAAAATGGGACAAAAGTGTCTGGAAAAGCATCCTTCAGAAAGAGACAGAAGGAAAAGACCCAGGAAAGGTGTTCAAGGCTGGCTCTGCAAGCTACACGTTCGCACGTTGTTCATAGCTCTATATCCAGGGTCGCATAGAACTTTCTCAGTTGAGATGGGCTGTGAGTGGACAGAGTTCAAGAAGTCCTGGTATAGAGCAAACACCTTTGTTCCCAGGATCGGTGCTGAGCACAGCACACTGGCCAGTAGCTTATGTGCAATGCATAAATACCGACAGGTAAGCCACACGTGGATAAAATGTCAGCTATTGATTAGCCTATAGATTTAGGGGGTTGTTTGCCCATATGGGATGTGGAGTCCTTTTACATTAGCATTTCCTTAGCACTTAGTCTCAAAATGGAACAAACTGCTACCTTGTAAAATGGAGTCACTAAGGGCAAGGCTACTTGTTTACACAATATGGAGTAACTCAGAGCAGAGCTCGCTGGCAGGCTGGGATCTCCATTATTGCCTACTTTTCTTAGGAGCAGAATTGTCTACCGATGAGCAACTTAGCTAAAATATGGGCTCACTGTGTGTGTGCACTTAATGACGACTGGAGACAGGAAGGAAGGTGTGCTGGTTTACAGCACAGAATAGCACAGGCTGGATGCAAGTAGTTGTGTGTGCGTGTGCATGTGCGTGTGTGTGATAACCTAGTGATCTCCAGAGGTGGGGAAAATGACCCCCTGTTCCAGTCTTGTGCCTAAAAGGTGTCCAGGTTTACTCCCAGTTGTATGTTTCTCCTGAGGAGATATACAGAGGCATCAACTCTCCCCAGGTAGGGCTCCAACAGATCAAAGATTCAATCCCATCCAAGTGCAGTTTTGGTCAACCAATGAGTTTATTGGGATTGTTTACTGGAACGGAAGTGATACAGGCACCGGGCACCACCCAGCATGGGTGATGACTCAGGAAAGAAAACTGCATCACTGACTACAGTTAGGTTGTCAGTCTCCCCCCCCTCCATGCAACTCAGGGAAAGCTACTCTTTACAGTTTATAAACACTGCAGAGGAGAGGGATCTTGTAACACTCCCACTATCCCCACCTCCCAAGGGCATGCTAATGGGCCCTGAGGTCTCCAGCCAGTGATCACAGTTACCCTCATTCTAGAGAGAGCAGGATCCAACCAGTGGAAACAGCAGTGCACCACAACATCCCCTTATCAATGGTCATTCATCAACTCTCTGGAGGACCTGAATTAGAGCCCCAGAACCCACCTTAAAAAAGGGAAAATTGGGGGTGGAGAAGGGGTGGACAGTACTGGAGGGATGACACGAGGTTGTCCACTGGTTTAAGCAAGCATGCACTCACACGCTCCCACACAGGCCAACAACAACAGCAAAACCTAATAAAAATAAAAAGAGGAGGCAAGGTTGGAAAGAGAGGGCTCTCAGAGGGTAAGATGAAACAAGCTTGTAATCCCAGCATTCGTCAAAAGATGCTGGGAAAATCAGTACTTCAAAGTCAACAAGGGTCGTGTGACCCTGTCTCAAACCACACAATAAATGGCCTGGTGCAGCGTCACACACTTGAAATCTTAGCACTTAGAAAGCGGAAGTAGGAGGATCTGAAGTTGAAGGCTGGCTTAGGCAACACACACACACACACACACACACACACACACACACACACACACACA